ACGGTCAGGGCACAGGGTGCCTGGGGGCCAGCAGCTGTTTAGCCACCTTTGCACAAAAAGTGTTGGATCATTCATTGTACAGCTTAGATAAGGGCAGTGGCTACTCATGCAGAATGCTCAGTGCAAAAATAACCTCTGTAGACTGCTGGTAGTCATTACTGACATTTATAATACTCCCTATAAAGTGGATCATTCATGCTAGTCCACACTGAGCTTTTCTGTCCATAAAAGCCGCTATACAAAAAAAACAATTATTTCTACTTTGTGTTCACTGTATCAGGTTTGGATGAGGGGGTGGGTGGGAGGAAAGAGGCAATACTTTGTGGTCAGCAGTGACAATAGGACTTCAAGGTTTTGGTGGGTGAATAATGCTGACCAAGAAAATCTGAGCTGAGAGATGGAGTTACTCGTAAGCTTTCTTCTGTCTCACAAGTTAGTTGGGGTGAAGTGTGGGTGGGTGGAGGGAAAGGGAGGGGTCGGTGGGGCTGGAGAGAAAGGAAGAAAATTCTATTGGCTATTCAGGTGGATATCAAGAATCCTATGGCAATATTTGAAACAAGAAGGGATTTTCTGCCAGCAACCTGGTCAACAATCTTCCTAGTTGGATAAATTTACCTCTTTGAAGATTGTTGTCAGAAGGACCTCTCAGAGCACTTCGCAGGATTCATAATAATAAACCGTGCATTTGATATAGCGCCTTATTATGTCTTCTAGACGTCTCAAAGTGCTTCACGGAATATAATGTAAAGTCGATTGACTGTATGTTGTGTGGACGAATTTACTGTGAAGTGGATTAACTGTGTGTTTTGTGAGTAAATGTGGCAGCAGAATTGCTCACAGCAATGTCTCGCAAACAGCCATGGAGTGAGTGACTAATTTTATTAGAGGGACTGTTGACCAGGACACACAGAGGGAGAATAGTGCCATGGCATCTTTTATATCCAACTGAACAGGCAGATGGGCCCTCGGTTTAACGTCTCATCTGAAGGATGGACATTTGTAGCTGATTGAATTAAGCAGCTAAGTTTCCAGTTCTACTCTAGAGAGTTCAACATTGGAAACATGCGGGACACTTTCTATTCGGGGAAGGTCAAAGAAAAGAAATAAGTCCATATTGAAGGCTGAAGAAGTACTTTGAAAGACATATTACTGACTAACTGATGACTGATTGACTGAATGTGGTGGAAAATGGTGAAGTGCCATTTCCCCCTGCGAACATCTCATCTCCTCCTCTCACTCCTCTACCAGAGCGATTAATCCCTTCCTTAACCCTAAGCCAACCCTAATGCCCCTCACACTGAACAGGCACTGAATCCCGTGGAAACAAAAGCGTCTCCCGACAACAGCTTTAAGAGTTAACTTGTCAACAATTCAGAGTCACAGTTAACCTTTCTGACCACAGCACTGCATTTCAATGACACTAAAACAAGCTTGTACTGGCAACATAGCAACAGGAGTCCATGCAACTCGGGGGTTTGCTCCACCAATTTAATTTGTTAAAGGCAGATGGCTCTTTCTTCACAAGTTCCACCTGATCTTTGCCCGTGGGGCCATTTTGTCTTTAAAATGTAAGATTGCGTGAAACTGTCCAAAATTCTTCCAACTCGGTCTCAAATTGGAAACGGTTTACTGCAGTTCCTAAAAGGAGGCACAATTCTACGTAATCTTAGTACTGTATTAGCCCAGATTATATGAGCTCAAAGGCCTGACAATGAGCTTGAACCCACAAGTTTCTCTCTGCAGCGAGAGTGTTACCGACTGAGCCAGGCTGATACACAATTCAGTCTCTCTCCACCACTGCAACGTCCTTCACTCCTATTCTCTTGCCTGTGTTCACTATTATACTGACTCTGGGCAAGCAAAACGAGATTCCTCACTCCCTCCATTGGTGGCCAACAAACAAAGCCCCCAATCCCTCCCAAAATTCATCTTCACCTTTCGCCTTCTCTCTACACCTTCAAAACTCTCTTAACAAAAACTCTAGACCGTGCGTTCAGACAACATCTTTACATTAACCTCTCCTAACCTACATTTTTGTGATGTGGGCTGTATCACCCTGGCGTAGTTGGTAGCACACTCGCCTCTAAATCAGAAGGTTGTTGGTTCAAGCCCCACATCGGGACTTGGAATCACATAGTCTAAGTTCACACTCCAATGCATTGCTGGGGGGCTGTTACATTGTCAGATGTGCTGTCCTTCAGATGAGACTTTAAACCGATGTGCCATCTGCCTGTTCAGATGGACGTTAAAGATCCTATGGCATTATTTGAAAAGAGAAGGAAGTTTCTCCTGGTTACCTGGCCAACAATCCCCCAAATAAAATTGAGCACTCACTCCATGGCTGTTTGTGGGACATTGCTGTACACAACCGGCTGATGTGTTTCGCTCACAAAATATACGGTCAATTCACTTTACAGTATATCCTTTGAAGCCCTTTGAGACGACATGAAAGGTTCTATTATATCAAGGGCAAGGATTATTATTATCGCAATCATAGTGGAAAGAGCTTCAAGGCGATTATTCCATGTGAAAAGAGCTAGATTAGTTCTGTGTAACCAGCCCACTCTTCGACAATGCTTATGGTCCTCTCTCCCCTTAGCCACTCACTCACGCACTCTCCCTCACTGGGCGCCACATCTCGCCACTGTGAATTGCTCGGAGACATTTCGCCCACAAATATACAGTCAATTCACTTTATAGTATATTCTGTGAAGCCCTTTGAGATGTCTAGAAGATGTGAAAAGCGCTATATCAAATGCAAGGATTATTATTATTATATATTACCCTATGTGAAGGGCTGTATATAAATGCGTGTTCCTCACATCCGTAGGAGAGGTTAGGAGGTGAAATGAAACTGCGAGGACCAGTTGGCCTTTTCACAGATTCTCATTAACCTCTGGGGCCAAGTAAACAAAAGAAAAGCTTGATAAGTAGGTGCAGGTGTACAAATAAGAAAAAAAGTGGCATTAGCTTGGTAACTTGTTTGCTTTGATACTCGGGAGCAAAAACAGAGGATCGGACAGGATACAAAGCCATTGCCCCCCCACCTCCCACTTGTTAAAAATCACACACATAAAAGTCACAAACTTGAAACATTTGGAAAGGGAATGAGCAGCGAGGAGCAACGATCATGCTAATTTCTTCCTTAAAACGCTTTTGTCTAACATTCCCCCCCCCCACACACACACACATACACCCCTCTGAAATGTTACACCCGTGCACAAAATGGCTTGAATATTTTCTAACAATTGAGATGTGAAGGTCAATCAAGGGATGGATGGAGGAGGTGAGCGACAGGGGACAAGGAAGGGGATGTCTCTGTCTACCCCCTTCCCAAGTCCTGATCTTTGCAGTAATTCCACAACAACAATAATTTGCATTCATATAGTGCCCTTCGCCATCTCCACACACCATCCATTCCCTGCCCCCTGCTTACTGTGTGTAAGAAACTACAGTAAAGGATCGGAGATCGATGGGAATATTTGCTATATCAAATGCAAGGATTATTATTATTATTATCATCATTGCAGAATCAGGGAACATCCAGACACACGAAATTCATTAGCATTTTCTTCTGCTTGTCAATTTCGTGATTGACAAGCCAAAGGAGATTCCAGTAAATGATGGTGGTGGGAGCAAAAATACACGAATTACCTTAAACAACACACAAAAACTTTCTCCCCCTTCATTAAAAGTTTTATGTCTGGAAAGAAATAATATTATTAGTATTATTATTATTATTATTATTATAAAGCCCACAGGAGAGATGGGTGGGTGCAAGGTGAGCTTGTGTGTGTGTGAGAGAGAGAGGGGGGAGCACACCCACAAAGCATGGCACTGGGACAGGGACTGGTTATAGCTCTGTGAGTGCGCATCTCTCTTGCTCTCTGGATGTCCCCTTCAAGAAACAAGTCCGAACTCCTCTCTCGCTCATTGGGAAACTTCTCTATTCTCAGCAAACTCTCCTCCAGAAAGTTTTTCACGCTGTCTGTTGCAGGGACTCGCTTTTCTCTCACTTTTTCTCCCAGTCCCACAATCTCTGGATGCCTGTCCCATGCAAACTCTTCCACACTGTGACTTCTCTCTCTCTCTCTCAATCATTCACTCACTCACTCACAATTTCTTACCCTTTTTGTACATTTTTACTCAATTGTCTGACTTATTATTATCAATTGCAATCATTTTTTTCCCCTCACACCCAAGTCTGAGCTGAGCCTTCCTTCCCCCTCCTCTTAACACAAACTTTCTGTGCATTTCCCACAAATAAAAGCAATTTTCTCAGCCTTGCTCTTGATTCTCCAATTTCTTTCACTGCTTCCCCCCCACCCCCACCCCATTGCATAGTTTTATCCATGCTTTTCCCTCCTCCTAAGACTTTTTGAGTATTTCTCCAAGACACAAGTTTGCAATTGCCCTCCAACTTTCCCATCCACTTTTCTTCCAAGTTACACTTCTCAGTGGTGCATTTTCAGTGCATTTTTTTTCACAGAGGGATTTGCCCCCAATTTAAACCTCCTGCACATAGTTAGAATTTCTCTCTTTCTCCCCCCACCCCCCCCCCCCCACCCTCCTCCCCACAAGTTGCAGATCTCCTTTTCCTCTCATCAGCATGTGTTTCTGAGTGAGTGAGTGTGTGAGTGAGTGTGAGTGAGTGTGTGTGTGTGTGTGAGTGAGTGAGTGTGAGTGAGTGAATGAGTGTGTGTGTGAGTGAGTGTGTGTGTGAGTGAGTGTGTGAGTGAGTGAGACTGTGAGTGAGTGTGAGTGTGTGTGTGAGTGTGTGAGTGAGACTGTGAGTGAGTGTGAGTGTGTGAGTGTGTGAGTGAGTGTGTGTGAGTGAGTGAGTGTGTGTGTGTGAGTGAGTGTGTGTGTGAGTGTGAGTGAGAGTGTGAGTGAGTGTGTGTCTGTGTGAGTGTGAGTGAGTGAGTGAGTGTGTGTGTGAGTGAGTGTGTGAGTGAGTGTGTGTGAGTGAGTGTGTGTGAGGGAGTAATAAAACAACTCACCTCTTTGCTCTGATGCCTCCAACACACACAGCAGTAACAGCACCAGGTAGCACCTCATTCTCAAACCCTTCCACACTGGCTCTTGCTGTTTGTTGGTGGAGGAATAAACTGCAGAAGTGTCAAAGAGAGCCAAGAGCTTATCCTCCTCTCTCTCTCTCTCTCTTTCTCTCTCTCTTTCCTTTCTTCTCTCTCTCTCCCTCTCTCTCTCTCTCTCTCCCCCTCTCAAGCCTCAGGACCTTTGTGCAGGGACTGGACTGCGACCCGCATCAGTGCAGCATCTTCAGCCACCGCCACTCGCGCCAAAGGGGAGGACCACTGCCTCCCCTCCTTTTTTTCCTTCGCCTTTCCACGCCTCAAGCGTATCCCCTCCTCTCCCCCCTGTCCACGAGCTGCTAAAGTAACTTTTCCACCTCTTGGTTAAAAAAAGTTCTCTTTTGTCCGGCACAAGCTCTGCCCACTCAGTTCTCTCCCTCCCCCTCCCTGCACTTGGTATGGTCCGGCTGTACTGTGGCTCCAGGAGACCCACAGGGAAAAGGGGCTTTAAAAAGCTCAGACAATAGTGAGCAGAGGGTATGGCTTAACATTCCTCTGTTGCCCCCCCCACCCCCCCCCCCCCCACCCATCTCTCACCACCCCCCACCGCTCTGTTTTCATGCCCGTACAAACGACCTGGCTTTTAAGACGCAGAAATGCTCGAAGCAAACTATTTCGGCCGCAAAGCACGCGGTCATTTCACCCGGCGGGACATCCCGCCAAGCGCTTCGAGGCGTCTCAACGATGCGATAAGGTGCTATATCGAACACAAGGATTATTATTATTATCATCGTTATTATTATTAGTCGCTGCGGCGAATTCTACACAAACAAGGAGACACTTTGAAAGCACGATAGTGAGCGTTCAGCGACACTGTAGATCCAGTGTTACTCACGTCTTACCATTAGACTTCTTTTGTACGCCTGACTGTGTCTTTATTCAGTGTACTTTGTATGCAAAGTTGGCGGTCCAATTTGTGCACAGCAACATCATGCAAACAGCCATGAAGTGAACGATCAATTTTATTCAGCCAGTTGTTGTCCAGGGCACAGGACACAGGCAACCTCACATAAGTCATCCCATTACAAATCGTATACTGGCCTCAGCCATACATGCACCTGAGTCTCATTAATTTCTTTTTAACAATAAAGCACTTAGATTTCTTTACACTAGTAGTATTTTACAAGGCAGATAAATGGCTAAATCGTAACACTTCTGCATTCCAAATAATCCTAAATTCTGATGCAAATCATCTCTTAACTCGTATTGCTATGTGCTCACTTACCCGCTGCATTGATGAAGTACCATATACTCAGTGCTGCATTCGAAACAAGCGTGGGAAATCCCGGTTGCATTGATAAAGCACAATTACCAGCTGCATTGAAGAAGCATTGCACGTGCACTTATGCTGCATTTGAAACAAATGTGGAAAACAAGGTCTAGACCTGTCATCATGTCACAAAAGATGAACTTAGATTTGCATAAGTCGTATTAAGTCGGCCGATACAATTTATGCGATTTTGCCTATAACTTGTACTTCATGTAAATCGTATTAAATGTTATGGTCACGACTGAGATGACTTATTCAAGTTTACTTGTAGTCCCTGCAAGGTCTTTAACATCCAAATGAACGGGCTGACAGTGGTATTGTACACAGAAACAATGTATGATACAGTAAGATCATACATAAGAACAATGTGTGAAATAGCAATATTGTAATACTATCATACATAATCCTACAAAGTTGTGGCGAGATATCAGATCCTGGAGGAAATGCAAAATCACTCTGCTCTTTTATTGAATTATTTTCTGATAAAGAAATATAATCTCTGTATGCTTTGTACAATAAAAATTGTCAACCACTCCATCCTCCTCCATCATTCACCTTCATGGAACTGCACTTACCAAAACCAGTCTGGAACTGTCACAGCTACATCACTCGCTTCAGCTCCTATCTCGTGCCAAATGCCACCAAAACCCTTACCCACAACTTCAATACCTTGCACTGGACTTTTCAAATACACACCTTGCCAGTCTCCCTAGCTCCACAATCCATAAACTTCAACTTATCCAAACTCCATTGCTCACATCTTTATCAGCACCAAACTCCACTGGTCCAACTAGGCTCCACTGCCTCCCTCTCTAACAGCAAATCGATTTTAAGGTCATCACTCGCACATAAAGATCCCTTCATAACCTTGCACCTTTCTATGTTTCTGACCTCCTCCTATACCCCAGTCTTCTGCTTGGCCCCTCTGCTCAGTTAACTCAGGTTTGCTCTGTGTTCCCTGCCCTACTCATGCCATCAACCGTGGATGACCTTTCCATATCTTCCTCCTCGTCTCTGGAACTCCTCCCTTCCACCCCCCATCTCGTACCCCCACCCCTACAACCCCCTCATCTGTTTTCAAGTCCCACCTTACGACCTACCTCTTCGATTGTGCCTATGGTCACCAGTCCCACTCCCTGCGCGGCAACCATCTCCATCATTGTAAAGTGCTCCGAAATGGTATTCTACGTGAAGGATGCTATAAAAGTGTAAGTTATTTATGGTGTTGTAAGCTTCCTGATGGCGTAGTTAGCAAAATCACAGCGGAGTGTGAAAGAGAACTATATACAGAATCTATATACATCATATCTAGAAAGTCCTAGATTTGTTCCCATTTGTACTGAGTTAGATGATCTAAGCCAGGACAGCAGTGAAGGACTTCAATTGGCCTCAATGCACTTGGCTTGGGAGGGGTAAAAACCATCAGTGATCTTACTCTTGATCGCCATCCGGTGATCACCCCTAGATAGTGTGCGTGTATGTGGTTATCACAGGCTTGGGACAGGATGGGGCTTATACTCCCATCACTTACTAATGTCGTATGAACCAGCACTGTCAGGAGAGGAGAAGAGAAATTGAAGAGGGGGACGGAGTCAAAATGAAATAAATTGATCATTCACTGCAAGGCAGCTTGTAGGACATTGCTTTGTGCAAATTATAATAATAAGTTGTGGAATCCTGTAGCTCAGTGGTTAGAGCACTCGCCTCTCAAGCGAGAGACCTGGGTTTGATGCCCGACAGGGTGAAACGTTAGGCAAGTTTACTTATTCCACACACCTCTGTTTACCTAGCAGTAAGTAGGAACCTGGCTGTTAGTCGATTGTTTTCCGGGGGTAATAATTCTTTCAAAAAAAATAAAATAATAAAGTGATCACTGTTTGTGGGACACTGCTGTGCGCAATTTGTGCCGTGTTTCGCCCACAAAATATACAGTCAATTCACTTTACGGTATATTCTGTGAAGAGCCTTGAGACGTCTCGAAGATGTGATAAGGCACTATACCAATAGCAAGTATTATTATAATAATCATAATAATCCTTGCTTTGAATTATAGAATACAATCTACAATTATATGGCATCTTTCAAAAATGTCCCAAAGATGTCCCAAATCACTTGACAGTTTTGGCTGAGGTGTGGGTGGGAGTGGGGAACAGTAGGAGGGGAAAGATGACCGAAAGCACATTCAAGGAGATACGTTTTGAGACGCACCTTGAAAGAAGAGAAGGAGGGAGCAAGTCAGAGGGAGCTGGAAATGGAGTTCCAGAGCGCGGGTGCCAGTTGGCTGAAAGCCCAACTGCTGATGGTAGGTCAGATAGAGCAGGGACATGGAGTAGGTCGGTGTTAGCCAAGTAAATGGAATGGCCTAGGTTGGTATGGTATGGTTGAAGCAGGTTACAGAAGTAGGGTAGGGCGTCAGTGACCAGGGGGTGAATTGGCTGCTGTGGCCACCTAATAATAGTCACTTCTGTTTAAAGCAATTGCCTGTGAAGCACTTTAAGCCGTTTCAATGTTACGGTTGCTCCATCAAATGGAAGAATTAATAAATATCCAAATATCCCTGCCTTTGTACAGTTACTAATCCTAAAGTGTTCATTTGATTCTTAAAAATAATTTAGATAGTTTGTTTCCGTCTGAAGTCAAGTAAAGCCATTGAGTTGTATGAGCTCCAGGCAGAGAGAGACCAGCAAAGTCCTGATTCCTGACTGACATATTATAAATTCCACATGTTGCAATGTTTTCTAACTGGTTCGAATTAGTCCTGACCTTTGCATCATTGCAAATATTTTTCTAGATTGCTTTCCTGCAACAACTACATTCTTACTACTCCTTGAAAATGTATTCTACTGATGTATGCAACAAATAGAAACAAATATTACACCACCTAAACCCTTAAAGGAGGTGCCATGTAATCTGACTACATCTCTGACTATATCTCTACATGTAATCTGACTACATCTCTACATTTACCACAAATACACACTCACTACAATTCTCAATAAATTCATTGGAAGCACTTTGAGATAAGTGATAAGGCGCTGTATCAAAAATAAGGATTATTGCATAATTTCCACAGAATTTGAAGTCTTTGAAGTAGACCTTATATTGTTCAAGTTGATTGTTTTTATGTATGTTTCATTTTCAAAGTACTGAATTAGTATCTCCTATTGAAAAAATTATCTCTACTCTCTCTCTCTCTCTCTCTCTCAGGTTGTATGCATTTTACACAGGCATGATTTGATGTGAATTTTAGGAGGTGTTTTGATGTGTCAGCTAACTCTTGTCAGGCAAATGGTTGGTCCTCCAGCTCAGGGATGACCAAACTTTATATTCAATCAAGAAAAATAAATACATTTTCTTGATTGAATATTTTTTGATTCATGCCGCAGATCAAGGTCAACCTTTTGAGACGTCTCAAAGATGTGGAAAGGAGCTACAGCAAATGCAAGGATTATTATTATATTATCTACTCAATCAAGAAAAAATTGAAAACACACTACCGATTGAACACAGATTTACCTAGACTTGTGCGGATGCTCGGGGGCCACTTCTTGGTGAGGGTTCCACACGTGTATAGGATTTTTTTTGTTTCTCTGGCATAAAGAAATCTCTGGGGTATATCTCTCAACTATCTCCTGCAACCATCCATTACTTTGTGTAAAGTGCACTATGTAAGGGAATGCCTCAAATTATTTCCCAAACAATTACTGTCACATGCCAGCTGTATTTTTGGAGAGGTAAATGTGGCAGCCATAGCTTTACACAGTAGGGTGCTGCAAACCACCATTATAATAATAATACTAATCCTTGCATTTGATAT